GAGTAACCTCAGCAGTAGATGTGAACACTTGCTTCTTTAAGATCAGTCATTTAGATATTATGAGCCAGCTGGAATGGCCAAAGCCTAAGGCCCTCAAAAGAAGATTGTATTAATCACTTTTCTATCATGAGGACAAAATACCCAATACCCACAACTTAAAGGAGAGAGGTGTATTTGGCTCATACTTCCCAGTGGGTTCATTTCATGGTTGACTAGCTCCACGATAGAAACGATGTGATGGAAGGGGGTGGCTGACGAATGCTGCTCACCTCATGATAGTCAGAAAGAAGAAAGAAAGGAAGAGCCAGGGACAAGAATGCACTCATCACATCCAAGTGTCCCACTTCTAACTAGGGCCCATGAGCTAAACACACATTTATCTACGAACTCACCAATGGATAAATACACTGATGAGTACAGCATCCCCTTGATACAATCACCTTCCACAGACAGGAGACTTTGGGGAGACATGTTAGATCTAAATCCTAACAAACATGGAATCCCCCAATCACAGTGGCTTCTTCACCTCCTCTGTTCTTAGTTTTGCTACTCCCTTGCCAACAGCTAGCTCTGAAAAGCCATACTGACTGTTGCCTTGCCCAAGGCATTTCCTCCATGATTTGAGGATCTGGTGTTAAACAGATAGATACTACTTTTCCGCTTGTCATCTTTAGATACTTAACATCAGCAACTCTGACGTCCATCAGCCACTTTTGGCTTTTGTTAGTCCTTTGCAAAGGGGACAAGACCACCAATTCCATTTAATTTTCTGAATCTCAGATTGCACACATCTTTAGTTCTCACTCCCCGCTCTGTCACTGTGTTAGCTTTCTGTTACTGTGTCAAAATGCCCAATATAATCAACTTATAAAGAGGGAAGGTTTATTCTGGTTCATGCTTGCTTTGGGGCCTATGGCAAGGTAACACATCATAGAGGGAGCACTTGTTCAAGCTCATCAAGTGCCCAGGAATAAAAGAGAAAGAGGGAGAGACTAGGCCCCACAATCCCTCCTAGGGTGTGTTAACAATAATTTAAAAACTCCCACTAAGCCCCACCTCTTGATGGATCCACCACTCCCCATAGTGCCACACCAGGAAATCAAGCCTTTTAGTTTATGGACCTGTGGCAAATATTTAATATCTAAAGTATTACTGTTGTAGTTTGATACAAGGCATGGTCTGAAGGAGGTCATTTTTAGTTATGTGTGTGTCTTCATAATACAGAGTTAGAATCTATCTGTGATAGAACTCAGGGCAAATTCCCTGGTCTTATCAGGGGTAGCATAGACATTGAGATTTTACAGAAGGATCTTTAATCTAGATGAATGTATTATCAGTGGCCTGTGGTTTATTTGTATGCTTTTGAAGATAATGGAGGGTGGGTGAATACTTTGTCTCCTCTAAGCAGACACTTCCGCTGGTAATTTCACAGTCAGTAGGCTTGGTGGTATGTCCATAAAACTTATGATCAGACCCTCAGTTTAGAAAGTAATTACCAATGGGGCAAATCTGTGAAGATGGGAAGGAGCATGCTAAGGTAGAATATATTAAGAGAATATCACCTGGGAGAGTGTCCTCCAGGAACTGATATTTTGAAACTTTCAAACTGACTCTTAGATAGTCAAAGAAGGGATTATGTACATGTGAGTATTCCAGGCAGATAGAAAAGCACATGCAAAGATTGGAGTTGCTGAGAAGGAAGTGGGTTCTGGGAAATTAGGGATGGCAGCAGCAGAGAAAGGAGGAGGAAAACTGTTGGAGGCACTAGCAGAAATCTTGAGTGTGCTTATGGAGAATTTTTAAACAAGAATTTGGGTGTTTTTGAAACATCATTGGGTCAGCTTGTCACACTACAGTTTCTGTTACTGTAGTAACAACAAGCTGACAAAATACCTGAGAAAAAGATGTTATATAAGATAAATATCTAATATAAATATCTTAGAAAAGGGTTATTTTGGTCCAGTTCTAGGGAATTTCAGTCTATGACTCATTAGCCTTACAGCTCTGGGGCCACACATCATAGTAGGGACCATGTGGCAGAGCAGTTGTTAAACTCCTAAAAAGCAAAAGGGAAAAAGAGGAAGAAACCAGGGTCCCTTCTGTGGGCACACCTCCAGTCAGCTAAAGCATCTCACTAGGACCCATCTCTCAAAATCACTACCACCTCACAATAGAGCCAAGCTGGGGACCAAGCCCTAACACATGGGCATTTGGGGAGACATTGAAAACCCAAACTATAATAACCACTGTGGACATTTTAGATGGCTGGAGAGGGATGGATGGATAGATGATAGGTCGGTCGGTAGGTAGGTAGGTAGATAGATAGATAGATAGATAGATAGATAGATAGATAGATAGACAGATGGTTAACGCATAGTCTCAAGAACCCATCACTCACTTCCTTTGAAAGAACTTAAGGGGTGATCAGAGTTTCTTTTTAATAAAGAAATCATTACTACTGCCATGTGGAAAATGGACTATAAAGCTGAATACATTTCAGAAGAAAGGTTGGTGAGAGAGAACTTGGACAATGGTTGAGGAAGAGAAGTGGACAAATTCAAGAAGTAGAAGAGAGGACACCTGGAGATTGAGCATAAGGAGAAGAAGGCCAGTGGGGCCGAGGCTGAGCAGCCGGGAGATGCTGGTGCCACTCTCTCTGATGAAGAGCATGACTGGAGGACGTTTGGGAGAAAGTGGAGAGGTGACGCCTTCCACTGTAGTGTCTTCCATTCTGGTGTCTCCGGTTTCTGAAACACTCCTGTCTGCCCTGGATGTATTTACACACATGCAGACTAAGCTAAGGAGAAGCAGCTAAGCCTGAGACAGACTTGAACTTCTTTGATATAGGGACTGTACTTGAAGTCTCAAGAAGGAAAAGGTTTTCTAGAGGAAAAAGAAGGGAGGCTAGGCCAGAGCCCAGGGTAAAAAGTAACATTGCATGCATGGAAGGAACAGATGGGAAGGAGATTGGCAAGGACTGAGCCAAGAAAGAGCAAGGACAAGATGGCTGGGTTTGTGGTAACTGAGAGCAGAGCTCATAGTCATTGCCCAGCGTTGCCCCCAAGCAGTAGGCTGAAGAAGACTGAAGCACCGTGTAGGAGGTTCGGCTGATAGAGCATGGTGGTTAATGAGTGTGAGGAGTGAATGGGAGCACAGTGGTAGGGATGCCCCCCCTTACTGAGCAGTGGGTAAGGAACTGGGTAGAGAATGCTGACAGGGAAGTTCTGTAGGCAGGACACTGAGAAGTTCCATCCTAGGGATGTTGAGTCCAAGGAGTAACAAACCTCTGAGACCTCACAGTGAGATGTCAGGAAAATGCAGGAGTAGCATGGGATCACAGCCAAGAGTAGGTTTATCATTACCTTCTGGGGCCTGCGGAGCTATGGTACTTAGGATGTGGGCTAACTTAAAGGGAATAAGATATTAGGATGTGGTGATGCCTTTTAAATGTTTATAATTTATTTATATTTATTTATTTATTTATTTATTTGGAGACAAGGTCTCACTAAATCACTAAGTTGCCCAGGCTGGACTCAAACTTGGGATCCTCCTGCCTCACCCTACCAGAGTGCTGGGATTACAGGCATATATCATCATGCCCAGCTATGATTCCTTTTATAATTTGAACATTGGGTTACAGCAGTCATAAGGTACACATAGAGGATTAAGTAGGAAATTAATAATGTTTTTTAATTGAGGGCCATTCATCATTTTTCCTGACATATTTCTGGAAAGATATTCCAAGAAATATTTTGAAAGTTTTTGAAAAAAAATGTTTACAGCTTTCACATCTCTGTTCCAGATGTGCATTTTAGACAAGTACATCTGTCTCCTGGTGTCTCACCCAGTCCTACCCTTTTGCTTCCGTGTCCCTCCCAGGAGGAGATGCTGAGGCCCTGCTCCCCTGCCTCTGGTGCCACAGATGACAAGCCACCTAGCTGTAAAATTGAATCTGCAGTGGCACCTTTTTCTTCAGCTTTCACTACAACACAACGTACTCAGCCTTGGTGCACAGCAGTGTTTTATCGAACATGGAAAGAGCAGAAGAAAGTGATTTTAAACAGTATCTGGCATTAGGCAGCAGCACCATTTTGCTATCTTCATTAAAATATATTGCTACATTCTTAAAGGCAAGTAGCAGATGGATATAGGTAAGAAAGCTGAAAACACATGCACAATACCCTTACATGTTCATGGATATGTGTTTGTCAACAAACACACATGAACGCACACACACACACACCCCAACATGCCTCCCCTGGGAGGCCTTCCAAAAGATGGGCCAAAATGTGACATCAGCTGTAGTGTAAAGTGTCTTCCCCCTGTATTGTCTTTAAAATTCTGTGATGTTGAATATTTGCAGACAGGCTGGGAAATCTACCCTGAATGAATGAAGGGATTTAAATTAGTTTGTTTCTTATTCTTTTTCTACTCAGAGCAAATAGAGAAATGCAGAATCCAGTCATTGCATTTTGTGTTAATTTCTTTTCTTTTTGATTCAACATTGTATCATGTAAAATTTGGAACAAACACTAACATAGAACAGTATAATGAATCTAAATATACTAATCATTCAAGTTCAGTGAGTATCAACATTTTTACTATGGGTTTGTTTTTTTTTTTTTTTCAGTAACTCTTCTTGGCTTTTTAAAAGCAAATCCCCAGGCATCATATCATTCCACCTATAAATACTTTCGAATATATAGCTAACATATGAAGACTTTTTTAGACATGGGCTTAACATAACATTACACATAGCAAAATTTAATATCCAATTCATAATTTCTCAAAATTGTGTCATATTTTCTCAGAAAAGATATGCTTTTACAGTTGGTTTACCCAATTAACAATTCAAGGGCCAGAGATTTAGCTTAGTGATGCTGCGCCTACCTGGCAAGCACAAGGTCCTGAGTTTGATCCCCAGTACCAAAAAAAAAGTAAAATATTAAAAAAAATTCAAGCAAAGTCCCCCCACATGTTGCGTGTGGTTGATAATGTCTCCTAAGTATCTTTTAATCTACATTTCCCTTCACCTATATTATTTTCATACCTTTCATCTGTTGAAGAAACCAAGTCATTTGTCCCATGAAATTTTGCACCATCTGGATTTAGCAGATTGATACCTCTTGATGTCTCTAAATTGCTTCTCACCTCCATTGTCTCTAAGCTGCAATTAGACCTTAGATCAAGGAGTCTAATTAGGCTCTTCCTCCCTTTATCTTCCTTTCATTCATTCCTTCTTTCCTCACCTTCCTTCTTTCCTGGCAAGAATACTTTAGAAGATCTGATACTCTAAACTTCCAATCACATCACATGAGGAGATGCCATCATGTCTGGTTGTTTTGCTTTCCGTGATGTTAAGATTCAACACTGGGTTCAGATGTTGTCAGCCTGATTGATCCTCTGGAGAGCCTGCCAGCAACCTTTCACCTAATTAATGGTCTTAGCAGCCACCTGCGATCATCACCTTCATCCATTATTTCATTAGTGCCTACGAAATGGGGATTTTTAAAAGTCTGAATTCATTCTGCACTTAAAAGCTGTAATTCTTCTATTAGAAAGAACTTTCCTTTTCAACTCTTCGGATAGTCTGAACTACAGTTCAAACAGAAAAAGCAGGCTAAATGCTCCATTCCTTCTTTTAAACATTTCTAGAAAAATTAGTTGATGCCATAGCAACCTCCAAAGATGACTGATGAGGTCATTGGAGTCTTTCTTCTGGCAATATTATAAACTCAAAAATTTTTAAATATATATTTTATGTGTCTAAATCCATTAGCGTCATTATTTCATTTGCCCCTAGTGTGTGTGTGTGTGTGTTTATTAAGGCGTAATTTAATACAATAAAATTGTACAGATTGTCAGTCTTCTACCCGAGGAATTTCACTGATCTATACACCCTGGTAGTCACTTCCCAAAATAAAATATGGAACATGATTTGCCTGAATTTGCCCTTTTCCTGTTCTTTCTGAAGCCCAGACCCTTCCACCCCAGTAAATCACTTTCGGGCATTTTTCACCACAGATGACTTGGGTCAGTGCCAGAATGTCACATGACGGAATCCCACCCTGTCGACTCCGTGACAGCTGGCTTCTTACACCTAATGTTTCTGAGATTCTTCTGTGTCATAGTTGCGTGCCTCAGCCACCCATTCTTTGTTATTGCTGACAAGTATGTATTCCATTCACAATGCATGTATTGTGAACACAATAATTGCTTCATTCATTTTCTTGCTCATAGGGTTTATATCTGATGTCTCCTTAGTGCATCAGGGGTTTAGAGGAGGGGCTTGTGGATGGTAATTGATGATGGGGATCTGGTCAGAAGAGGCAGTCGCTGGGGTCAGGATATCTCCCTTTGGCTCTGCCCTTTGGTCTTTGAATCCTGGATGCTCTGACATAACAGCTTTTCCTCTACCAGGCCCTTGTGCCTAGCAGCTAGCAGACTTTGGGTGAATCCATGAACCAAAATAAACCTCTCCTCCTTTACTTTGCAGCAGGTGAGTATTCTGTCCTACTAGCAATGAGGAAAGTGGCTAAGACACTTGCTGAGGGATACTTGGATTGTTTCCCATTTGGGACAGTTATGAGCATTTCATGTAAAGTCTTTCTTAGACATATGTTTTGTTTGTCTTGGGTAAATACCTAGGAATTGAATCACTGGGATATATGGAAAATATGTGTTTCACTTTTTAAGAAACGTTTGGGCAGGCCTCCAAAGCACCATATAAGAGTTCCAGGTGTTCCACATCTTTGGTTGTGTTGGTATAATCAGAATTTAATAAACCTAGTAGGTTTGAAGTGCTACCGTAGTGTTGTTTTAATCTGCATTTTCCTGGTGACTCATCATACCGATCCTCTTTCCTGTGACTTGTAGAAAATTTGAATATCTTCTTCTGCCTATTGTTAAACATTATGTTGCTTCATTTTATTGTTGATACGTAGGGTTCATTTTATGTACTCTGGATACAATTCCTTCTTCAAATATATACCCTATGAATATTTTTTTCCTCTCTGTGGCTTGTCTACTCATTTTCTTCTTTGCCTTCCACTGGAAGCTGTATGGTTCTGCCTTTCATATTTAGGTCTATGATCCATGAAGGCTCTGAATAAAATGTAAGAGGTAACCTCACAGAGGAAAATACCTTTCTGGAATGGACTCACACAAAAAAATAGTAATTAAAGAACAATTGATAAATTGGATTTAATTCAAATTTATACTTTCAGCTCATCAGAATGTAACCATTTGGGCCAGGGATTTAGCTCAGTGGTTTCTCCACCTGCCTCGCAAGTGCAATGTCCTGAGTTCGATCGCTAGTACCAAAAAAAAAAAAAGAAAAAGAAAAAGAATGTATCCATTGAAAACTGAATGGGCAACCCCCAAACCCAGCATACAAGGTATCTTAAATCCAGGACAGAAAGAGACCCCAGAGCACAGGGGCCCCAGGCCTTCATGAAGCAGGACTTGAGCATTGTGCTCTTAGTAAATGAATGGGAAGGACTCAGCTTATACCAGCATCCCAAGAACTTTCACAGAAAGGACCCTGCAGAGCAGCCTAGTGCAGCCAAACCAGTATGCACTAGATGTTTTAATGGACCATGTTTACCTTACTGATCTTAAGCTACAAACACATTGAAAGTCCAGTTCCATCCTCCAAGTCAGAGATCCATGTTGCTATTTCTCACCGGACTACTGAACTGCAGGTTCTGAATGTGCCCTGCTTAATATAGCAAAGTATGCTCTTTAGAAAGCATGAATTACAGTGCAGTGAAATTTATTTTTCTTAATAGCTTAATATATCGCTAATTAGTATAGCATAAAGTGTCATTATGTGGTGTACTGTACTTTAACCAGCCACTGGATGCTTGTTGAAATTTACTCGCAAATCATGAACATATAAGTGAAATTATGAAAAAAATGAATAGCCAAGCCACCTATTGGGAAGAATACACAGTGCCTATATCTTATCTAGAATATACATTAAAAATACTAGATGTCAAGAGAAAATAATAGCAAAGGGCTTTCACAGCCATTTTTGCAGAACTTTCAACAAAATTTCCATTCTCCAATTGTCTATTTCCCATCTCAGACCTAAAATCAGTGATTTCTCTAAGGAGCCCTCATTCCTTCTAATGAGAAATGATACATAGAGACCAAAGTCTTGTCAAGGAGGGTGCTCAATACTATTGGATCATTGTATCTGAGGCTTTTGCAATAAATAAATTTTGCACCATTTTAGGGAGATAAATATAAATCATCATTTCATACTAATATCTCCAATACAAATTTATGATTACAGGATTACAAATCTTTGATTTTTATATTGACTTTGCTTGAAAGTCTTCATCCTTGCTAGCTTAATTTCTTATTTGGTTTCTCCTACTATATATAAATAATAGTTTGAGTATAAAAATACCGGCCAATATGTTGACTGAATGAAGTTTAATGTTTCTCTGTGGTTCCATTTTGTTCTTTGAATATATTCCACTGCAATGGGTAATCAACAGTCTGTTTTAAAGTTCTTTAAAGTGATTTTTTCCTGTGTATCCATGCCAACCTTTCTTGATATTAGAGTTATACAACAATGGACAATCAAGTTCATTTTTTTCTTGTTCACTGAGCTTGCAAATCAGTTGACTAGCTTCTCTTGACCTAAAGTTTTAGCTTTTAGCAGTCAGTCCATGTAGTCATTGGTGTGTGCACCAAACAGTTCAGTTTTGTGTTGATTTCTACCTAGAATCCTCTCAGGACTTCAGTCCTACAACACCTGGCAACTCATACTATCAGAGAAGCTGCAGGTCTAGGTCTTCTCCAGAGGTGCCTTTGCTTTTTGTGTATAAATCTGTCCTGAGTTTTGGCGGGAACAAGGACACAGTCCACAGAAATTGTCAAAGTTAAACAACTTTGGATTCCAAAGCTGAGCAAGAGAGAACTTTCACTGTAGCTGAGCTTGTATATCTGAATAGCTGAAGCTCCGGAGTTGTTGTTGCCAAATCATTGAAGAAAAATAATCTAACAATTTCCAGGCAGGCATAGGAAAAAATACTTTTACCCTCCTCCCCCCAAAATCTTCCCTTACTGCTGTCTTACTCCGTTTTTGGTTTTTATAATCGAATACCATGCACCGGGAGATTTACAAAGACTAGAGGTTTATTTACTTTATGTATCTAGAGGCTAGGAAGTCCAAGAGCATAGAGCTAGCATTTTCTTGGCACTTGGTGAAGCAAGAAAATCACAAGTTGAGTCCCACCTGGGGAATTTAGTGAGACCCTGCCTTAAAATAAAAAATAAAAAGGTGTGGGGATGTTTGGGTCCCCAGTACCACAAGAAGAAGAAGAGAAAGGAAAAAGATGAGAAAGAAAGAGTGTCAGAGCCTTTGCTAGGTCCCAGCTGCATGTCTGAAGTGCTTCACCTGTTAGGCTTCCTCTTCCTAGGTCGATGATGCCATCACGTGCCCCCCACCCACCCATCCCTGCGGTGACCGCATCTGATTCTGAAAGTCTCCAGATGCCCCTCCTCCACGTGCCATGAGCATGGGACTGTGGGTATCAGGCTTCCACAAGCTGTTTTGGAGGGTACGCACGGCCAGACCACAGCAATGGTCGAGGCCACATTGAATCCTGGTGTGACCAAAGCTGACCCAAAGACCAGAAAGAGACCATTTAGGGGGTAGAGAGAGCGGCCACTGAGGTTCTAAAAATGAGAGGAGACTGTGGCGGTTGGAAAGGACGGGCTCGCAGCAGGGAACAGGAAGGAGATCCCAGAGGAAGAGGCACCCACAGGCGGGGGCTCCTCTGTATCTTCCCTGAGCAGTCCATTCCTCACTCTGTGCACGCAGTTACAGTGCAATCGGTGTGCTTAGCCTAAGGACACCAGCAAGTGGGTGCTAAGTTTGAGAAAGGCTCCCACACAAGTCATTGTATTTAAATGGCACAGACCAAGAGGCGTGAAAAGTAATACTATTGTTATTTTGCTCTTTACTTATACTTTGAGTTTCTCACATAAGAGGAACCATGCTGTATTTAAACTCCGTGCCAAATTTATCTCGCTTCACATTATGATCTTGAGGTCCAGCGATTTACTGACATATGCCTCAAATTTAGCCTTCTTTGTGGCAGAATAAAATACTCCACTGTCTACAGTTATTAGGAAGTAGGGAGATCTTTTTCAAATGGGAAGAGGAGCAAGAGATGGAGGGGTAGAGAAAGGAAGAAAGGGGAAAGGGATTTAACAAGGGAGTTGAAAAAATGGAAATAGAGTGTTTGCAACTGGGCAGGGGAACAAGAATGTTAGGGAGCAGGGAGAGAAGCGAGGAGAGGAGGACAAGAGAAAGAATTGAAGCATGTTGTGTGCATGTCTAAACTCCCAATGATAAATGTAATCATTTTCACTGCAAATGTGTACTGATAAATTTCTTTTCATGTAATCCTTACCAGGGAGGTGGCACACTGAGGGAACCTGAAGCAAGAGAATCACAAGTTCAAGTCTTACCTGGGGAACTTAGTGAGATTCTGTTTCAAAATAAAAACTAAGAAAAGGCTGGAGATGTTTGGATCCACACAGTATTGCAAAAGAAGGAGGAAGGGGAAGAAGAGGAGGAGGTGAAAGGAAAGAGAGGAGGGGAGAAAGAGGAGGAGGAGGAAATACTGTTGTTGGTGCTGTGTAGTGGTTCATGCCTATAATCCTAGAACACTAGGAAGCTGAGTCAGGAGGATGGCGAGTTCAAGTCCTGCCTTGGCAATTTAGCAAGAACCTATCACAAAATAAAAGATCTAGGGAGGTAGCTCAGTGTTAGAGAACCCCTGGATTTGATACTTAGTACCTCAGAAAAATTTAATACTATTAAATGGCATGAAGATTGTGCCAGATACAATGCTAGGCATTTTACAAGCCCTGTATTATTCAGTGTTCATGAGAATGCTGTGAATTGGTCCTTATTGGTCCCGTTTTACAGATGATGATATTGGGATGGACAGAAACCAAGTAAGTGGTCCAAGATCTGACAATCAATAAATAGAAGAGCCACGACTCAAGCCATATCTGTCTGGATGTACTATTCTTATGAGGTTTCCCATCTGTTGCTTAGAATATTTATTCACCAGTGCC